TCAGTCCTAGTCCTTGAACACATCCTAGTTTCAGCCTCCGACTTCTTTGTGTGCCAAAAGCTGATGGGCTTCCTTCAGCTGCCAGGAGCATCATCTGCCCAGCAGCTGTGCCTCTCTGCCTGGCAGCACGTGTGCCCTTCTTGCAGGCAGTGCAGAGCGAAGCAGAACCAGGGGGCTCAATCCAGGCCTGAGTTACAGAAATGAGAAATCTCTAGAAAAAACATCAGAACTGTACTGTAGGAAGTTGATTAGTGGAGCAAACAAAGCTCAGCATGCACCAAGCTGCAGGGCCTCCTTCCTGCTAGGCTCAACAGAGGGAAAGCAAACGTGGATGCTCTGCTGCCAACCCCAGGCAGGGGACAACTCGCAGGCTTTCAAGGAGGGTATAGACTCCTGTGTCATGAGCTCCTGCAGGAACATAGGCAAATGTAGCCTGCAACTGCTGCTGAGGTTACACATTTCTCCTAACTACTCTGATAAAAAGTTTTCCATGATGAGGACAGTCATGTATTGCCCAGAGAGACCGTGCAGTCTCCATTCTTAGAGGGTTTTTTCCAAGACCCAGCTGGATGTAGTCCTGAGCAACCTGGTCTGACCTCAGAGCTTTGGTTGGAGGTTGGACAAGAGACTTCCTGAAGATCCTCCCAGGCCAAGTTACCTTGTGATAGACCACAAATTCTGCAGCCCTGTGGTTTGGGAAGGTTGTACAGCTTGCTGCAGCACCCCAGTTTTACTTCCTGTAGGAGCTCCCACTCAAGTTGGCCACACTTTGCCATGCCATAAACAGCCCAGCCCACTTTAAATCATTCAGACACCAAACTTCTGGGATTAAAACAAGCTGGTTGTGACACACCGAAATCCCTTCGGGAGGAAGACAGGTCCATGCAAGTGCAGGAGAAGCTGGAGAGAGGGACTTACCTGCTGTGACCTTACATACCAAGTGGGGCAAAACCCCGTAAGGCCCCTCGGTAGCCAGCTGTGTCTCCCCAAAGCTGAGCATGACTCCCCCAGGCTGCTGCAGCGGAAAGTGGGAGAGGGTCTGCCTTTCCCAGACGGTGGCCGCAGCCGGTCTTCATTGCAGAAAGGGGGTGTAGGTAGCTGCCATCAGCCACCGCCTGCCTTGGGGAAATGGGGCTCCAAATCCAGACCTTGGCCTCCAACAAGTCTGACTCACACAAACTCCTCAGCCTTGCTCCCCTCATGCCCAGCCCAAGCTGAAACCTCTGCTAGGGGAAGGGGCTGTTACTGCAGAGCTCTGAAGTAAATATCTCTATGAGCTTCCCACCCCTGCCCCCAGCACTGCCTCAAACAGCTCAGCAAGGATTTCCTCACCACAGCTAGTACCAGGAAGAGGTGAAGACATCTGTACAAGCCTCATCATCTCATTGCCCAGCTCCCGTCCATTAGTAACTGCCTCAGCAAAGCCCATGTCTCCGCTCCAACTGCAGCGGTGGAGGAGGGAGAGTGTCATCTCTCCTCCAGGGAATCCAATTTTGGATGCCACACCAGCTGGTAAACAGCAACCGCCTCTGTTCCCCTGCTGTCTTGCAGCAAAGCAAGTTGCTCACATACAGGATTAACACCATACTGAAGTGTCTGCTAGGAGACAGCCGACTGCTTTAAAAGAGGATTTGTTAACCATGTACCCAAAAGAAGGCACTAGGAGATGAGAGAAAGATTACGAAAGGTTTTAAAAACAGACAACCCTCCCAAGTTGTGCCTGGTTCATGGGGACCTCTCCCACAAAAGGAAAAGTTGGGGAAAAGGCTTTCTCACAATACCCATTCATTGGGCCTGGAACACATCTTGGCTTCCTACAGAAACAGCAGGCTATCATACAGTAACCACGCTTTTAGAGGAGTAAGATCTGGATGCGTTGCAGTTTATCCCCACATCATCTCTCCCCTAACCCCATAAAACTGGCTCCCCAGTCCCCTTCCTACCCGCCTCTTCTCTCACAAACCCACCTCCCGCATGCCTTATAGCTCACCTCTTACCCCACCCTGATACCCCCTGACATGTTACCCACACCCTGCTTCACTTCTGATAGAGTATTATCGATCATGCAACCTGCAGACCCCCTGTGGTGACCCCTCCTCATCTGGGGATTTTGAGATAAGGCAGCCTTCTACTGCTGTACCAGCCACATCTGGCTATCCAAAACACTGTCACAGGGAGAACAGTACCTTTGCACTGGAACATAGACAAGGAATGCAAAACTGTTTCCAGGAATAAAAAATGTGACTCTCTTGGGAGAAATGGATGACATAGGAAGGCAGCCCCCATTACCCACACTCTTCCCACAGCCACCCACCTTCTGCTTAGGCCCATAACTACTTGGTCTGTGAGGAGATGCCTGCAGGTTGGATCTTGCCCTGGTCTAGGCCGACCTAGCAGTGTGCGTGGTGAAGCGTGGGAACCTCTGGCATGAATGAATTCATTATGAATGTGTGCAGGGCAACTCCTTGACCTGCAGGAAACTTTGTTTCAACTCAGTTACCAGCATCCAATTACAAATGGTCAGACAGCATCTAGTTTTCTTTCCAAGATTCAACCCCTGTTTTCAATCAAATGCTTCTTGCTGCTTCAGAGCTCTCTTGGTTGGGTACTTTACTGCTAGAAAGAGATGGACGTTCTTTTTCCACGTGCCTTTTAAGGATCCATTCAGTGAACCTGGAAGATGCTTTCCTGCGGACTGACCTAGTTCCACATTTTTGAGCTGTGCAGAATGCTGATCCACTGGGCCAAAAAAAGGTCTGTTCAGAACATGTCCAAGGTCATCTCCCGAGTCAAAGAAGATCTGGAAAACAAAAAAAATGGTGTATCTGCCTCCCTCCCCTGCAACCAACCCACCCTAACACCAGGTTTGGCTCTGGGATGCCAAAAGCTGTGTGTGCCCTTGGGCAAACATGCCAGGCAAGTTTGGTTTTCACCTAAATCAGCATCAATTTTTCCAAGTTCCTTCTAAAACCCTGATAAATGATAAAAACCCCACTGCCCCTCCTTTACCATATCAGCCTGCTGAAGCTCAGAGTCACTGTTAAAGGCAGCAAAACCTTGTAAATGGGAAAACAAAATACATTTGTGCAGTAATAAAAGTAAAAAAGTCAAGGGATGAAGTGCACCTATACATACCAAGTAATGGCCTTCAAAGGGATAAAAAGTAGAAATCTGATAGAGAATGAAAGTCTTCTATTGCCAAGCACTGAGAAAAGTGGTACAAGGAGAAAGCAGGAAGAAATGGACACTCTGGAAAGTCTTAAACAACAAACCCAACAAAATCAGAAGAAAATTGTTTAGAAGAGCCTTTAAAATGAGTTTTATTGTCAGAATTTTACAAGTAGCCTTCAGTGGCATCATACAAGAAGAACTCTGTTGCAAAACTCTAATAAATAGTCTGCCCCAAGTCCCAAAATATTTTTTGAAATAAAATAAAAAACGAACTTAAAAATAAAAGAGAATAAAAGCAAGACTTCAGGGTGCTCAGAGATGTTAGCAATATTTCCCATTTACAAATAATATCAGGCATTTTATAAATCTCCTTCATACAAGTCATTAAAAAAACCCAAGACATTCTAAACCTTTACAAAAGCACTCCAGAAATAGTTCCAAAGAGATCCATTTCCATAACAAAACATTAGAGAAGAACTCCATGGGGATTAGCATCATAAATGAAGTTTGAGGTTGAAGTGTAGTGCGTACTTGTGTGGAGCAAGATTAAAGAGCATGAAAAAGGGATTTCAAAAGAGTGTGGAAGTTTGTGACAAGACTACGCCCGATGACTTTAACCTGTCTATTTGAGAATGTGGTAAAGGGGAGGGAGTGGATGCTCTTGAAATTAACCCCCAAATATACTGCACTTTATGCAAGGCAATATTTATTAAGGTAATGACTGTATCCTCAGAAGGGAGTAGAAAAGGTTTCTCAGCATGCTGCACACACAGTTCAATGCCTGTGCAGACTGCGGCGCTTAAAAGTCGTATTCTGACACCTAAAAGATACTTTCTGGAGAGGTAACGTGTTGTGGCAAGTTAGCTGTTCCTTCAAAGAACAAGAAATTAACTTTCTGGGCATGAGGAAGTTTGGGAAATCTCATGCTAGACAGTTTCACTGGGGATTGGGGATTTCAGAGCTCCAATCCTATCCCAGTACTTTGAAAAATACACTTCTCTAATTCAACTTTACCTATTCCTCTATCTACCATGGTAGAAGATTTGCAAGACCTCTCATGTAATAAAACACAAGTTGAATAAACATTTCTCAAATCTGCTGTGATTTGAGAAGTCCAGAGAAACAGAAGGAGAGGGGAGGTGCACGGACATCTCTGTGGATGTGGATTTTCATGGAAACAGTTCAGGGTAAAGAAATCTTAATCTCTTTACAACTTCAGCCTAAGTCTTCTGCACATATGCAAGCAACAGATTCCCCTGGAAGGGAAGGGGACTATACTTAAGCAGTACAGCAACAGTACTCAGTATCTCTCAGCCTGCCTGATACGGTATGAACTGCAGCATGCCTAGTTTTGCTGTTTGTAAAGTTACTTGCAGCCATTGTTTCCACAGGAAGCAAAGGCTACCAGAAATGCTAATGCAATACATGTCTGATAATATGCCTCACCCATGGCTCACGTCTCTAGTCTCTCTCCAAAGGTTATGATTCTGGTTGTACTGTACCATACACTATGGACACGCGTTCTTGAAGGTAGCACTAGCAATCAAGCGCAAGTTGCTAAGGAGACACCTAAAACATTGCATTACATCCCCTTGTCTGTGGCATACTTCAGAAAACAATGTAAGAGCAGCAGTAAAAATAAACATTTCTTTCTAATTTTCTAGATGTCATAATATTTGCCAAAGCTGCAAGGAAAAGCAGATTACCTGAAACAGAGAGAAAGGAGTTAATGGAAACAGAGGCAGATGGAACAGCAAGCCTGATCCAGCCTCCCAATCATTTTGTACATAACAGAGAAAGAGACAATGTGCAAAAAATAGACATTCACATTTTAGCAGTTAAACTTTTATTTTACCTTTTTAAAATTATTTACTTTGTTTTTTTCTACAAAAGGCAGACATTGATTGTTGATCTGCAATTTTTCTGAGTGCGCGCAGAGATGCAAAAAAGGGTTATTGGAGGATGAAGGACAGGGAAGTGCTCTGACTATACTTTCACATGTCATGATTAAGGTGGCATTAAAGCTTAAGTCCCAGTATTAATATTCATAACAGATAGTTTCCTTCCCCGTACACTGTTCTCAGTTCATATCAATTGTGTTGAAAACCCATTCGGTGAATTTCTTCAGTTTCTCGGTTGCATTCTGGGATTCCTCCTGTAACCTCAAGTTGTCTTCCCGCAAATGTTGCACTTCAGCCTGAAGGCTGGCCTTGTCCTCTTTTTCCTTAGGCATGAGGAAAAACACAGATCTTAGTGGAAATTTTAGGTCATGCTTCCTACCTGTATAGAGAGTCAAGAATCTCTTAAGAGAGCATGAGTCTCATTCTTTATAAGGATTTTATGTACAGTAACACATGGTTTTATACCTAAGGGACATTTGTGACATTTCATTCCTCACTTTTTGCTTGAATGAGCAGGATTTCTCTATATTAAATTCTAATAAGCTGGCTCCCCAAGTGGTGAAATAAAATTGGGCACACCCTGTTCTGTATGTACAACACGTATGTACAACAGCTGATGGTAAACTAAGTAAGGGATAGGAAATATTCCTGCAAATACTTCCCCAGCTAAGAGACTTTTCATCTGACCACAGCAGATCCTTCTTGGACCAAACAGGCAGTAACACAATACAGGAAGTTTCCACAGTAGAAATTACATGTTTAGATAATACTCTCACTTTTCAACATCAGCAGGATATATTTACATGGACCGACTTCAAGCCTTTCGCAGTGTTACCTGAATTAGGAGTGGAGGCACTCTGAATCACCCTCCTAATTTAAGCAGAGGACTTGGATGCCTACAAATTTAGACATTCCACCTTAGCCTTGAACAGTTAGAAGTATGGCCTGAGAAAAGTAGTAAAGAATTGTCTTTTTCTCATACAAGGATGAGACCGTCACAGGCTCAGGCACGGCAAAGCAGGACTATACAGTTATTAGCATCACCTATCAGCACTAAATATATGTCTTACAGATTTTCTGTAGATGAAATGTTTACCTTCCTTAAATCCTCTTGCAGCATCTTCAGCAAGCCTTCCAGTTGGTCCACTTTAGAGGCGAGAGTTGGAGGAGATTCTTTACTGTTGAAAGCAGGAAACAAGAATAGGTATTGATATGATTTACTATCTTCACATAGGGTAGCTAACAGCCTTGTCTATACAAAGTGGCTTTATGTAGGTATGCACTCAGGTACACTAAGAATTCACAAAATGAACAAGAACCTAACAAAGTACACGGAACACATGCAGCACACTAATCAACAAACAAATTTAACTCATGATTAGTTGGGGCCATCCCATCACTTGACTTCTCTCTACTTCTGCTCATTATACGTGCCTTGAATTACCATTGCTTTGGACACGTTCACAAACATCTCAGACAAAGAACCTGCAAAAAGCTTCAACTGTACTTACGATTCTTCTGTTTTCACTTCCCACCGCCATCTTCATGAGAAATTGTGAACAGTTCTTCTGTGAAGCCTGGAGATGGCTTCCAAATAAAGACAGTCCTACTCTCTTCCTCAGTTTGTAGCTGAGGAAGCCTGCATATCTGGCGTATTTACTTACCCTGTATAAGGCTTTATCTGTGCAGTAAGCTGGTCCTCAGCCTGATCACTACTGGAGGCGACGCTCACAGATCTGTGATTTTCATCAGCAGCAGCAAAGAATGAAGCTCGCTGAACTGAGAAGGCAAACATACAGAGAAAAGCAATGGCAGCAGCAATGATTATTCGTTCATGCACAGCACAACGGCTACACTGCAGGATCTCAAAGCAATCTAAGTCTGTCTCAAGCAAGATAAGGTGATGATATGTCATACCAATATCCACTTGACAGAAGCAAACCGGCATTGGAAGTGTTGCACCAGGTTCTCTGCTGTATTGAATTTAACAAGCAAATTACTAGCTCTGGCACAGCACCGCATGCTCAGAGAGATCATACATCACCCGCAGGCTAAGAAGCTCTCCAGGAGGGAGATGCTAGAGAGTGCAAACCAGAGATGCCCCGGTGGCGTTCACAGAGTCCACCCAAGGCCAGTTCCAACAGAGGCAAGAAGCCAAGCTGGAACAACAAGAGCGGTGCAGAACTTCCAGAGTACAACTGCATGACACTGCCCAATAACTCAGTAACTATATTTAGTTCCTTCACTCCATAAAGGATCCCTTTATCTTGAGGAAAGAAAAGCTCACTGTGCACAGTTTACATGGAAAGTAAAATGACAAATGTAATTTTTTCAGAACCCAGAATTTTTTCCTTATGCCTTAGAAAACCTTTTCAGACTGAAATGTGAAACCTCTTTCCTGCCTTGTGTCTATACTTTTTTGTCCTGCAACTGCTCAGATGTTTTAACACATCTCTAAATCACTATCACATGTGGTGTGACTGTAAACTACCGAATGCCCCTACCTCTGGAGTTTCCTAGCATAAACAATAACATAAACACTTTTTAGTTTAATAAATTAGCATCTCTCTCCCTCAGCAGCTGCTGGTCTTTCACTGGAAATAGAACAGTATCATCTTTTTCTGCCTGGCAGATTTTTATTCTGTGCTTTCAATAAGGCTAAAATCAACACGCCTTGGTATTTGATGGAATTTTTCCTGCTCCTCTCTTTTTCCTCTGAATGAAAATACTGAAGGTTGGTGTAGCTCATGGATCCAGGCACCTTTTGTTTCAGCTGGTTGCAGATATTGCTATTTGTAACTTTGGGGGCTTGTGCTGAAGACACCAACCAACAATGTAGAAGAGAGGCGTGCAGGATCACAAATCAGAATTTAGGCTGCTTGGTACCTGTCAATCCCTACTGGCACCTGGCAGAGACTAGAGACTGGGATTATATTGACATCAGACAGCTGTTCCCTCTCCAAGTCAAATCTGAATATATTTTTACAGCAGTGAGATGAAGGTGCCACCCAACACATTACCCCAGCTTTTCTTCATCTGAGCTGTCAGTTTGTTACCTTCACCACACTGACTTTGTTCATGCTTCTAAAGAGAAACACAAGTGAGTTTGGGGCCTACAAAAGTGAGGGATTCACGTCAATGAGGACAGTCAAATAAATCTAACCAAAAAAAGGGAATCTTTTAAACAGAAATTGCCAACCACAGTGAAATGCATTAAAACCTGGGTTTCACCCCTATGTGGCTGTGAAAAAAACATCAGTACAAATTCATCTCCTCTTGAGGACTAAGGCTGACTCTTTCCACAGACTGCACAGCAGAAATGAGACACAATGATCCTACAACTCCTATAGCAATAGAGCAGAGCACACATGTATGTCTTGAACACTAGCTTAGACGTGCACTGTCTTAATGATGTATATGGCTACTACCAGAGAACAGCCAAGAAAGCAAGCTACTTCACAGCCTTCTCCAACCATGCAGAATAATGTCTAAAAAATTCAGGATCAGTGAAAACACTTTCATGAAGGTGGGACAGCATTTATGCAGAGGTTAGGAAAAGGCACTTCTGTTTAATGCACCTAGAAGACTTTTCCACTGGATTATAGTAACTGTAAGGTGAACTCCCTTTGGGCTGAAGTGTATTTAATTTTAAATTCAAATACATCTAGGCAGCTTACAGTTCTCTTCAGTTTACTAAGTGTCAAGGAGATGGAAAGTGCCATAGAATGAAACGACACGACACTTATGTGCAAGTCTACGTATTCAGAGTGCGCAAAGGGAAGAATGGCAATGGAAAAGTATATACCAACAAGGCATATTTCCCAAATTACCTTGGCAGCACACTTCAGCTGCGCTACAGAAACTTCTTGCTAGTGCAGTAAGCAAGCAATCATCAGTGTGCTCATGGGCTTTTCCCCTGCTACTTGACCTTACTTTTGCACTTCTGTGCCAGATGTCTTTTCCACCCTAGCTGTGATGTCTGCAGCTGCTCTACATGAAATGAAAAGTAACCAGTTTCACAGAGATTTGGCCAAACCATAGCGCATAGGGATTCCAGTGTGAAGAAACAGTATCTGAGTGCTACATCCAAAGTTTTAGGCTGTTAAGACTTGAGCTGCTATTTTAAATGAGGTTAAGCTTCAGACTCAGTAGAAACAGTAACAACAACAAAAGCAAGAGTCAAGATAAAAAAAAAAAAAATCCAAAACCAAACACTCAATGAAGCATGCACAAAGACCAGCTTTCTAAGTATTATATTCTGAAACCTTACCTTCAAAGGCTTTGGCAGCATCTACCAAGTTTGACCAGTCCAGATCAGAGGCAGAATCAGGCAATGGCATAAGACCAGGGTCTGGCATGGGCTGCCGTCTTTGCTCCTGCATATCTGTGAGGGAGCTGTCTGAGGCAGAAAACTCTCCTAGAGTAATGCAGAACAAATTATAAACTCCATTAAAAAAACCCCCAAAAAACCAAATTCCTTTCTTAATACTAATGCATCCCTATTTTTAATTTTTCTGGGATAGCACTTTTGGAACCAGAATTCAGTAGAATGTTTGATCAACTGTAGTTGACCATATACAGCACGTTACAAGCCAGTTTTCCGAGATGGTGCTTCTCACCAGGACATTCAGCTCTTTTCTAACCTGCCTGAGTCTTCGCAGCTTAGCGCTTCAAAAGCCAGTTTCTGCCTCCCCCCAGCACTGGCAGTACTCTTCCACCCAGTGATTCCTGCCTCTGCACAAGCTGAAGATACTTTGGAGGGTTCTGCAGCTTGCTGGGGCTTCTACACCCTGGCACCGATCTGCTCCTGTAAAAATACAAAATTGTGGGTTTTTTTTTCCCCTCCTCTCTTTACAATCTTGTAAACCAGTGGGATCAGACTTAGGCCTACCAAGATGAATCAGAACAAGGGAACCCTTAAAATGACTTCCAAAGCATTGCGCTTCTCAGCAGTTTAGTGAAACCTCTTGATCTTTACTGAAAAATACCCACACCTGCCCATAAGTTGGTACATGGCCCACTATGGAAAAAACATTGGCAAGCTTGAAAGAAGGATATAAAGTCCCTGTAATTTTTGTGCAAACTGGTGCCTAGCAAAGTGAAACACTTGAATTATTGCCACT